TTGGCAGGAGCAGGGACCGAGCAACGGGAGCTCACCCCGTCGCAGGGATTTGAACCACCAACCTTCTGATCGGCAAGTCCTAGTCCTTAACCCACAGTGCTTAGGAGACCCCTATTGCCCTCCTGGAGCTACAATTCCCAGAGTGGTTTAACATAAAACCCTCTTCACAGGCAATCAACCCATCTCTTGGCTGGAGAACTGCATTGTAAACTTTGTAGAAGTGTGAATTACGAAGGACGTAAGTTCAGAACAAAGTTTCAGAACAAAGGTTAGAAATCTTTTCCAATCTCGGCGTCTCTGTGTTGGCGAGAGGGGGGGGGGGAAAGCGCTTTGGCAATGATTTTTATCTAAGGAGAACCAGAGTGCTTTTCAATAGGGTGCAATTTCAGGCTTAATTGGTGCATTATGGCAAAATAATGATGCAGATACAAGAAAAACTTGCGGTTTCTTGAGAGCGAAGCATTATTCATGAAGGTGTTTCAACTGGGAGCAGTTTACTGCAATTATAATTTGCTGCAGAACTGGCCTGGCTGGGAAAGTGCTGTAAAAGAGCTGAATAACCTCGCCGCACTTGAAAAGAAGTTTAAAGTGGTTCAACTTTAATAGGTTCAACTAAAACCCAATTAAGTATTTAAAAAACAAACAAACAAGCAAAAAAAGCCACAACTTTTTTATTTTGCAAAGGGTTGTATCCAAATTATTTATTTAGTTAGAGCATTAGTATCTGGCTCTCCAGAGTTGCTGGGAGAGTGTGGAAAATACAAATTTGGGCACTGATTGTGAAAGAGCCAACCCTCCAAATATCCCTATTTTCCAGGGATGACCCCGATTTAGAGAAGCCGTCCCGGTTTCTGATTTGATCCTGGAATGTACCGCTTTTCCTTAGGATGTCCCGCTTTTCACTGGAGAAATGTTGGAAGGTATGGAGTTATCCAACCCCCAAGCCATTTGAAGGCAATCCTGCATAGGGAAATTATCATTATGGAATGGGACGTCCCTATTTTCATTGGAGAAATGTTGGAGCTAGCATAATTTGGGGATAGGATGTCCTTGATGGAGCTGTGTTTCTGGTGAAACTGATGGAATGAGCCTCTTGCTTCCTCTGCTGTGGAAGACCAGATCCACCAGGCATCCCCTCCCCTCAGTTGTTACCTGAGGGCAGAGATCCCATCAGATTCCCTCAGTGGGAGAGATAGGAAGCAGATGTCATTTCTGATATATTCATATCCATGCTTCCTTTCCCCTAATCAATGCATTTTTGCAAGGGTGGCTGGAGACCAGTGCTGGATTTACGTACAGTGGTACCTCTGGTTGTGAATGGGATCCGTTCCGGAGGCCCTTTCACAATCTGAAAAGAACGCAACCCGCGTCTGTGCATGCGCAGGTCGCACTTCGCCGCTTCTGTGCATGCACATGACGTCATTTTGTGTGTCTGCGCATGCGTGAGCAGCAAAACCCGGAAGTAACCCTTTCCGTTACTTCTGGGTTGCCGCCGAACGCAACCTGGAAACACGCAACCTGAAGCAAACGTAACATGAGGTATGACTGTACAGTGGTACCTCGGGTTACAGACGCTTCAGGTTAAGAACTTAAACCTGGTTAAGAACTTTAACCAGGTTAAGAACTTTAACCCCATTATCTAAAGTGGTGCTTCAGGTTAAGAACAGTTTCAGGTTAAGTACAGACCTCCAGAATGAATTAAGTACTTAACCTGAGGTACCACTATATAAGCTAAACAAACTATAGCTTAGGGCCCCACTCTCTCAGGGCCCCCAAAAAATTTAAAGGGGAAAAAACTGGGTGTACATTTCCAAAATATAACTTAAAAAAACAAAACAAAACAAAACAACAAAAAACAAAACAAAAAACAAATATAAAATAAAAGAAAATAAAACCTACATACAGCAACAATGTTTTGTGCTGTGTAGGCTCCTATGATGTAAGTCATGGGCCCCGCCTGCTCGCCTGCTCCCTAAAATATCGCTGGTTTGCTCCTTTCTATATCTAGGGTGCCTACATGTTATGTGCAAATGGCTTGAGATACCTATTAGGTCCATCAATTACTATATAGCATATATTCAACACAAAAACAGTGACCATTTGTTGTTGACAAAGGACAGCTGGACATATAAAAGGCCCCATTACCTTCAGTAACTCAAGGCCTCATCCAACCTAAATCTGGCCCTGCTGCGGGTATTTCAGCACCTGAGGGAAAACGCCTCACTGTTGCCCCCATGATGGGTGGGGCAAATTCTGTAAGGGCTTCTTCACAAGAAACCCTTGCAGCGTCTCCCTCACCCAATGGGGGCATCTTTCCAGATCCCCTCTTCTCCCTTCAGGAGAAGCAGGTACAAACCCTCACCGCTCTGCCAGGCAGGGGTGAGAAAGTCATGGGCAGGACAGCTCTGCCTTTCTGAAAAATAATTGGTTGGAGAACTGTGAAATTCAAATCAGTAAAAAAATGATAGAGAGCTCTGTTCTGGTTCACAAAGCACAAACTTGATTTGGCTTTAAACAAGATCAAATCAGGGGTTCTTTAGCTGTGATTCCTGCATTTCAGGGGGTTGGACTAGATGACCATTTGAGTCCCTTCCAACTCTACAATTTTTTTGATTCTCCCCTATCCCTAGAGGGACTGCAGTTTCTTGCAGTAGGGACGGTTCATTCGTGGTTCATTTGGCAGGGCCGTTAAGGATGGATATGTGTGATGCACCCAGCTGTAACACTCCCTTGGAGAGGAGCACTTTAGAGCAAAAAGGCCAGTTAAATAAAGAACGCCAGCCCAACCTAGATAAGTCAAAGACAGGACACTCCAGTAGCCCCTTGGTTGATCTCGAAATTCACCATCCATTGCCCCAGCTGGAACCCGATCAGCCATCGCCAAGTGACGCTCCTCCCAAGGAAAACACAACACACAGACAAACAGAGACAGATTTAATTGTCTTTGATGAAGACCCCCCGATTGCCTTAGCAAATGTCACCAGGGTCCATGGATTAATAACCGACGCCCCGGAGGTAGAGGAGGAAATACATCAGGATCCGTCCGGGGCTTCAAGTGATAGCCAACCTTCTGATATGCACCTAGATTGACTTTATGCCACGGCTGGGAACCTGGTGCAAAAACTCCTCTCTGCAGTTGTTATCGTGGAATGTGGCAGGGTGGTTTTCTAAGCTGTGTCTCCCTGATTTCACAAAAACCACTTCAAAACTCCCCTGTCACCGCATCTGCCTCCTTTGCTACCCACTCAGCTATCTTCATCTTGTTATCTCTTAACTTTCTCCGCCATAAAGGAACCTCTCCAAAGGCATCAACATTTTGAGCAATTGCCTCATTTAACTCTCCATCATTCTTTTTGTCTCAAGCTGTGGGTCCCCAGATGTTGTTGGACTACAACTCCCATCATCCCTGAGCTCTGGCCTTGCTAGCCAGAAGTGATGGGACTTGTAGTCCAACAACATCTGGGGACCCACAGGTTGAGAAAGGCTGCTTTAGGGACTTGTAAGTTGATTCCTGCTTGCACCTGTCGTAGCATCAGTCCCCATAAACAAGGGGTTCCCTACCTGACGTTGACCTGATCAACCTGTTGTTAGTCAACCTGCTTAGTCGTGTCCGCCTCTTCGTCACCCCCTGGACCAGAGCACGCCAGGCACTCCTGTCTTCCCCTGCCTCACGCAGTTTGGTCAGACTCATGTTCGTAGCTTCGAGAACACTGTCCCACCATCTCGTCCTCTGTCGTCCCCTTCTCCTTGTGCCCTCCATCTTTCCCAACATCAGGGTCTTTTCCAGGGAGTCTTCTCTTCTCATGAGGTGGCCAAAGTCTTGGAGCCTCAGCTTCACGATCTGTCCTTCCAGGGAGCACTCAGGGCTGATTTCCTTCAGAATGGAGAGGTTTGACCTTCTTGCAGTCCATGGGACTCTCAAGAGTCTCCTCCAACACCAGATTTCAAAAGCATCCATTCTTTGGCGATCAGCCTTCTTTATGGTCCAGCTCTCACTTCCATACATCCCTACTGGGAAAACCATAGCTTTAACTATATGGACCTTTGTCGGCAAGCTGATGTCTCTGCTTTTTAAGATGCTGTCTAGGTTTGTCATTGCTTTCCTCCCAAGAAGCAGGCGTCTTTTCATTTCATGACTGCTGTCAATCTATGCTGATCAATCCTGATCAATCTACTCCAACCCTATTTGCTTCTGTTCTGAGCGAGGAGGGAGCCACTGATCCAGAAGGACCCAATTCATTCCTCTGGCTACTTCTAGGTCTATCTCTGCCCACCCATGGCATGCGGACCCCGGAATGAGGCCCACAATGGAATGCAGCTCCTGGACTGGGAAATATTAGCCATTCCTGGTTTAGAATCACTGACCTTCTCAGTAGTGGCGCCTGCCCTGTGGAAAGCCCTCCCATCAGATGTCAAGGAAAGAAACAACTACCTGACTTTTAGAAAACACCTGAAGGCAGCCCTGTTTAGGGAAGTTTTTAAAGTTTGATGTTTTATCATGTATTATTATTATTCTGTTGGGAGCTGCCCAGAGTGGCTGGGGAAACCCAGCCAGATGGGCGGTGTATAAATAATAAATTATTATTATTATTATTATTATTATTATTATTATTATTATTATTACCACCGAACAAGAACAGCAAGAAGCCAGTTTATGATGCAAAGGAAGCTTTATTAGAAAATGAAGAGTATCAAGAAAACATACAACCAAGCTATGTAACAAGAGAATAATCTCTCAGAAGTGAGACGTGTAGATATAGGATGGACCTTTGGTCCTTATGTAGCTGGAGAGCAATGTGGACAAGGGAATATACACTTATGGAAAGTAAATAGTTGGGAGAAAAGAATACATAACAGGGCTTTCATCTTTCACATACATGGAGAACCATTCATAAGTCTGGAGCTCAACATTAGTTGAAGCCCAGACCCATAAACTTGGCTACAGAGTCCGTACTGGTGGGTTGGCGATTTCTGGATAGTCCTGGTCTTCTCACAATGGCTTAGCAGGGGTGGCCCTTGGATGACTGGCCACCGCTGTAGCCACCACCGAGGTAACCTCCAGAAGAGCCATAGCCATAACCAGAAGACCCATAGCCATAGCCAGAAGACCCATAGCCATAACCAGAAGACCCATAGCCATAACCGGAAGCACATGGACTGTAACCTCCCACAGACATTGGCTCGCTTGAAGTGAGGATGGGTCCTGGGATGGTCAACACAACTGGAGCTGGCTGGATCACCACTTCTGATGATGGAATTTGGCTGACGCAGGAAACATTGGCCCCGGGGACTATGCCAAGGCTGCTGGATGATACGCCGCCACCGAAGCCACCACCTCCGATGATGCCACCTCCGATGCCACCACCTCCGATGATGCCACCGCCATATCCACCGCCGTATCCACCGCCGTATCCACAATGTCCAAGGCCAATAGATGGGACAGCGCAGGATTGACTTTTAGAATGCATGGCTGTGTTTTGGAAGTTGGCTGTGGAACAACAGGAAGGATAAATATGAATGGATTAGAAAATCTGGTCTGGAATAAATTGTGGATTTGTGGGGTGGGTGGGGGGCATAAGGAACATGTTTTCTCCTAACACTAGCACTTGTGGACATCTAATGAGTCTGAATGTTGGAAGATTCAAGACAGATAAAAGAAAGTCCACAGCACAGAGTTGTACTATGGAACCTGCTCCCACAGGAGGCTGTGATGGCTACCATCTTGGATGACTTAAAAAGTGGATTGTCCAGATTCATGAAGGATGAGGCTATCAATATCTACTAGTCACAGTGGCTTTCCTCTGCCCTCCATGGTCAGAGGGCAGTAATACTTCTGAACACCAGTTACTGGAAACCACAGGAGGCTAGAGTTGTTCTTGTGTTTGGGTTCTGCTTGAAGGTTTCCTACAGACATCTGGTTGGCCACTGCGGGAAGAGGATGTTGGACTAGGTGGGCCTTTGGCCTGATCCAGCTAGGCTTATCTGAAGCTGAAGAAGAAAGGGTCAGGAGCTGGTTTCCCCAGAAAGGCTCCTCATCTCCAAGTGGCAGTTGTTCTAGGAGACAGCGCTGAGGAGCCTCCCAGCAAGAGCATCACAGCAAGGGAAGACCAACTTGGCCCTGTCCCTCAGCCAAAGAAGGAGCTGTCATGGCGCTTCCCTTCTTCCTGCCAAAGTGAAGGTCCTTTACCTAAGAAACAGTGGGTTTGCTTTCCCCCTCTACCTTCCTCATCCCCTTTCCTTCTTGTGCCACGTCTTTTGAGATTGTAAGCTTGAAAGCAAGGGTGTTCTATTTTTGAAGAAGTATGCATGCACACAAAAGCTCATGCCAATAACTAACTTACTTAGTCTCTAAGGTGCTACTATGGGATGCGGGTGGCGCTGTGGGTTAAACCACAGAGCTTAGGACTTGCCGATCAGAAGGTTGGCGGTTTGAGTCCCCACGATGGGGTGAGCTCCCATTGCTCGGTCCCTGCTCCTGCCAACCTAGCAGTTCGAAAGCATGTCAAAGTGCAAGTAGTTAAATAGGTACCTTCCGGCAGGAAGGTAAACGGTGTTTCTGTGCGCTGCTCTGGTTCACCAGAAGCAGTTTAGTCATGCTGGCCACATGACCTGGAAGCTCTACACCAGCTTCCTCGGCCAATAAAGCGAGATGAGCGCCACAACCCCAGAGTCAGCCACGACTGGATCTAATGGTCAGGGGTCCCTTTACCTTTAAGGTGCTACTGGAAGGAATTGTTTTGTTTTGTTTTGTTTTGTTTTGACTATCGCAGACCAACACAGCTACTTGCCTGTAACTAGAACTATTTTTGATTGTTGTAAAAAGCTCTGGCAGCCTCCTCCTCACTGCCCCCCCCCCTGGATGAATGTAAGAAGAGTCCTGCCAGATCAAGCCAAAAAGGGCTCATCCAGTTTAGCATCCTGTTCTCCCATTGGCCAACCAGATACCACAATGGGAAGCCCACAAACAGGACAAGTAACAGCAACCCTCCCCACTTGTGATTCCCAGAATCCCCTGCTCTTCAGAGACATACTGCCTCCTAAAATGGAGGTAGAACGAATCCCTCATGGCTTGTAGTCTCATCCTCCATGAATTTCTCTAGTCCCTTGTTAAAGCCATCCATGCTGGTGACCATTGCAACCTCTTGTGTTAAAATTTAGACCGGAAACTTCATTTCCATGGACATTGATGGGGTTATTAAAAGTAAGTGGATATATAATAAAGAGTTCTTCATCAAGACAAATGGAAGAGCCACTTTGGTGCATTAAGATATTGACTCTCAACCAGGCCATGAGTCCAACCGAAGCTCCTTCGGCCACCACACCTTTTGAAAAGGTGAGTCAAGAACTGTACTGTATCATCAACAGCCAGAGCCTAAGGAGACTGCTATACACACACCCAAACATCTCTAAATATATTGCACCATGCCTGCCTGTTACAATTTGGAAGCAGCAGAGGAAGGGCCATAGCTCAGTGGGTAGAACATCTGCTCTGCATGCAGAAGGACCCGGGTTCAAGCCCCAGCATCTCCAGTAAGGGTTGGTGGAGATCACCTGCCAGTAACGCTGGAGAGCCACTGCCAGTCTGTGTAGACAAGACTTAGCCAGGTGGACCAACGGTCCATCTTGGTATAAGGCCAATTCCTACGTTGGTAGTCAATCTGCCAAACATAAGTATAATAAACAAAGAAATGAATAGATTATCAGTCTTACCTGGTTAGAAGAAGTTTTGTTTGGATGTAGAGAGGAACGGAGCAATCTGAAAAGTCCGGGGCTCCCCTGTCCCTTTTATACAGTTTCATGTTTGGGCCCTGAACTGGAAAGAGAGACACCCATCTTTGCCTGAGGGCTTAATTAATCTGGGATGATATGAGCAGTTGAGAGCCTGAAATCCCAAATTGCTTTGTTGTGTTCTGGATTCCAGGCCTCCATCAGCCATCTGAAAACCGCACATTCCACCTTTGAATTTATCTGTCTCATCTTTTGTGAAATTGCCTTGGATTTAATTGAGGTTCCACCAATGATTACCCACAGCCCTGTCATTTAGATCTAGCGCTTCCTTCTCTCTCTTCTCTTTTAACCAGGCAGTCAGCATTAATCTCCCCAAGAAAATTGCAGAGGTTAATTGCCTTCTACTGAGTCAGGTCAATGGTCCATCAGCCCAATAATTGTCTGCACTGCCTAACAGGAAGCAACTTAGTCTTGGGCTGAGGGGTCTTCCTTGGCCCTGAAACCTGAGATGCATTCATGAGACCCAACGTCTGAAACCATGTGAGCCATGATGCCCTCTCTTGTCAAACAATGTGCAACTCAGAACATCTCTTGCAACCAAATAAGGAACAGGAAATAAGGGAATTGGTTGTTGTTTAGTCGTTTAGTTGTGTCCGCCTCTTCGTGACCCCCTGGACCAGAGCACGCCAAGCACTCCTGTCTTCCACTGCCTCCCGCAGTTTGGTCAGACTCATGTTCGTAGCTTTGAGAACACTGTCCAACCATCTCAACCTCTGTTGTCCCCTTCTCCTTGTGCCCTCAATCTTTCCCAACATCAGGGTCTTTTCCAGGGAGTCTTCTCTTCTCAGGAGGTGGCCAAAGTATTGGAGCCTCAGCTTCACGATCTGCCCTTCCAGTGAGCACTCAGGGCTGATTTCCTTCAGAATGGATAGGTTTGATCTTCTTGCAGTCCATGGGACTCTCAAGAGTCTTCTCCAGCACCATAATTCAAAAGCATCAATTCTTCGGCGATCAGCCTTCTTTATGGTCCAGCTCTCACTTCCATACATCACTACTGGGAAAACCATGGCTTTAACTATACGTACGGACCTTTGTTGGTACCCAAAATTGGTACACTGCAGCAACAGAAAGTGGAAGAGGTAGGATCTCATTGAGGCCTCAACATTAGAAGAGTCCTGTTGGATGAAGCCAAAGACCCATCTAGTTCTCATAACATAGACCATAGGGCACCACAGCCCATCAACCTATTCTCACATTGGCCAGTCAGATTCCTCCAGGAAACCCCATGCAGGGCAAGGACACCAGAGCCCTCCCCCACAAGAGCATATGAGGAGCCCCACTTGATAAAGTTCATCTACTCTAGCACCTGGTGCTCACAATGGCCAACCTGATGGCCTTAGGAAGCCCACAACCAGAACATGGGCACTAAAGCAATCTCCCCACCTATTTTCGGCAACTGGTATTCAGAGGCATACTGCAACAGTGGAGGTAGAGCTTAGCCACTATGACTACTCATAAGCTTCTTGCCCTCCATGAATTTGTCCAATCCTCTTTGGAAGCCATCAAGGTTGGTGGCCATCAGTACATTGTGGCGCTATCAAGTTCCATGGATTCAACTGTGCTGTGTGAAGAAGTGTGTTTTTTTATCTGTTCTGAATCTTCCAGAATTTAGCTTCATTGGATGGCCCCATACATGGAAGAGGAAAGAAGAACTTCTCTCTATTCGCTTTCCTTGCACCACCCATGAGTTATGTCCCACTTACTTGCATATATATATATATATATATATATATATATATATATATATATGCAGGTTTTGGTGTCCTCGGGTGTCTTCCCGTGTAAAAGTTGGGGTGTCTAGGCGACGTTTCGACGAGGTCTCACTCGTCATCTTCAGGCTGGTGCTTTCGGCTTCTTGTTACTGGAACAGAGCTCTGTTCCAGTAACAAGAAGCCGAAGCACCAGCCTGAAGATGACGAGTGAGACCTCGTCGAAACGTCGCCTAGACACCCCAACTTTACACGGGAAGACACCGAGGGACACCAAAACCTGCATTCCTTACCCGTGAAATCTACGAAAGCATATATATATATATATATGAGTTCAAATGTTGTAACCTTTTTCATAAGGGAGAATCTTGGTAGGGAATGTCCGCATTCATTGCCCTCAGTCTTCAGTGCCATGCATACCATTACTGCTCATGCTCTCGCCCCTCCTCCCACCCCGTTGACTCTAAGGAAGCAGTGTAGGAGGCAAGGCTCTGAAACCAGTCTTGGATCTGAAACCAACCCTTGTCATAACAAAAATGCTAAACACATGATAAACCAATTAATGGCAATTAAAGGCATGGCTCAGAAGTCAGTGGGAAGGGCAATGAGGGTTGCAACCCATGGACTGGATACAATGAATGAGTCCCACTAGTGGTAGCCCACACAAGGACTTCAGCTAGCGCAATGGGGTTCCCCCATTTTTCTCCCCTTGCAGCCCCAAAATTGGCTCTGGGAGGAGGTAAGGGAGGTTATTCTGTCTGGCAAGCTGGAATGTGCACATTGATGATTGATGTAGTATTTTTTAAAAAAATGTCAGTTCTGCAAGGAGAGCTGAACTCTCCACTCTTATTTGGAAGCAACCAATTGTGTGATACTACTTTCCTTCATTTCTGATGGGAATAGCCTGGATAATTCAGATAATTTCTGAACCAGGGACCTCTCCATTTCCTATGTTTGCTAGGCTGAAGGCA